ATATTTTAACTAATCAAAAGTAACAATTATAGCAATAATGACGCATCTATATAGTTTAAGAAGCTATTTATCAAATAAAATTCTTCCACGACACTTATAATGTTACATTTAAATATTTTTTAATTATTTAAATGAACGACATATTGAAATTATTAGAACTTCTCCGTGCCTTATGTCTATTTTTTCTATTACTACACTTGTTATTTGGTATTCATAAGTCGTATGTTTTAGTCATGTAAAAGCTAACATATTCATCTTCTTCCCTTAAGCAATTGCTTTATACATAAACTTACTATTGTTATCCCTTCTTTAAGTCAAAAAAAACAAACTTTACACTTCACCGTGGACTCTTATGTTCTCAACAAATCAAAAAATTGTAAGTAATTTTCTTTAAACAACTTTGACTCCCTACCTTGAACCGATTATTATTTCATATTTATCGCAATCTTTTATATATTGTTATGCATTATTTTAATTTTTTGTATGTATCACTAATGCTATTTTTAGTCGCCCCTTCAATTATTGTTTCAATAGTTTTAACACGTAGCCAACCTAAGGCTAACGGGACCATTGGCTTCAAAACTTTTATATTTTTCTTCAACTTATTTACAAATGCCTTTCATAATTGTCGTTGTATTGGATACTTCAGTGGATTTTGAGTCCCAATTCACTTGTATTCTTTTAAACCCTATTAAACAACGATCCAATATTATACTAGTTACACTTACCATATTGACATTTGGGAATCTATCAATAAACTTGTTGTTAATTATAAATTTATACAATATGCAAAAGATCGGAGTACCTTTCCTATTTGACAATGTAAATTTCTTACCCTCCATTAACAAATTTGCTAAATTTAGGCTTCTAAATAATTTTAATAAATTGAGTTATATTTTCATATTCGTTCTTATTTTATATTTATCATATTAGAATAAAATTAAGACAGAGTCCTACCCAATGGCACATGAGACATCTAAAATATTTTTCAATATTTATGAGCTCCTCACATAAGCATGTTTCATTGTCATAATTTGGTCATCCATATATATTTACAAATGCACATTTACGGCTTTCCTTTTTTACATTGCCAAGTAACATATGATAGAAACGTCATGTATATTTATTAGTTTATTTTATTAATAACCAAATATATAGTGACATATTAATATATTTTAATTATATAATTTAGTGGTTTATTTTAAATTAAAATAATCATACAAATATTTTTAAGTTTTCATTTAAATATATTTTAGTTGGTTTATAGATGTTATATATATCCAAGACACATAATTAATCACAATTTATAAGAAACTAAAAATATTAACTATTACCTTCAATTTCATAAACAACAATTTCTTATTCATACATGTTAAAAATTTAATTACAAAAATATTTAATTTAAAATCAATATTAATGAATTTATAAGTATATTATTATTTTTGCGATACATTATATTTTTATTATATTGTATCTTTATGTTTATTTCATTAAATTTAAATCTTAACTAAAATCGTGTTCGTGTTTGCTCCCACATCAATTATTATATATTTTTAGCAAATCATTTAAAATATACATTTTTAAACATGCATATACACACATATATATATATCTACAAATATAGTGATGACTTACCATATATTATCATCAAATCCTTTAGAGATAACATTTCTCTATAAACATGTACACATACATACCCCCCTATTAAAATTTTATGTCAAATAAAGTATCATTCTTTTTTATTTTTGGCCTAACTTTGTTTTATAAATAAATATTGACAAGCCCAAATAGATACAAATAACAGTAACAAATCACATACATGCAAACAAATTAGGCATATACTTATAATTGCTTGATTTTTGTTGGCCATAATGTTCTTAACGTGCACCGAAATCAAATAAAATTTATGTGGACAAATGCATAACTATACACATTAATTAAAATCAAGAAAAGGAGACCACCATAGGTAATAACTTATGGAAATCAGATTAGCTCTAATAATATATTTATGTGACTTAATTACGATTGATATGATACTAATTTAGATTTATATGAATTATTTGATTTAGATATTGTGTAATGCCCGGAAAAAAAAAAAAAAAAAAAACGCATGCTACGTCAGCAGCCACGTCAGCAGATCCAGTCAGCAGTCCTGGCCAACCAGGACCTGCCACGTGGCAAAACTACGTCGACCAGGGACGAGCCACGTTGGCGATCCGCGTGCGCGCGATCGGACGGCCCAGATCAATCGCGCTCACGGACGACCCAAATTTAATCGCACGGACGGCCCAGATTTAAGAAAAAACGAACGGCCCATATTAAATCAAAATGAACGGCTAAGATCAAAAGGCAAAAGGGTATAAATAGAACCCCCACACCAGACCACAAAAACCCTAGCCGCCTGCCCTCGCCGGAGAAGACGAACCAGAGCCGGCCGCCGCCGCCCGCCGCCGCACCGAGGAAATTTCCGACCGCCGATCGAGGTAAATTTCACACCCCCGACTCGTTTTTCCACGCTGATTCCCCCTGTGGCCAAATCGAAGCCAAAATTCCGGCCAAACGGCCGAAAGCCAGCGGCGCCGTCGCGTCCCTCCTCAGGTTTTGCCTCCGATGAGGCCCTTCCCGGTCTCCGTTTGATGCAAATTTTGTATCACCGTGATCACCATTTTTTTCTCTACAGGTTGACCGGAGCCGAATCACCAAAAGACGAACCTCGTCGGAGAGTCGCCGCACCCGAGAGCACTGCCGCCGGTAAGCTTCGGTTTTTCGTAATTTTTTGGCCCCCCAAGGGCCGTAGGGTTGTTTATTCACAGAAACCAATGCGAGTGTGGCCGAATTCGGCCGAAAACGGCCAACCCGAGGCGAATCGCCGCCGCTTGTCGCCGGAGCACGGCGGAGCCGCCGTGCCGGAGTTGCGATATTGGCTGAAAAGGGCTCTGGACCTAATTTAGGATTTTTTGGAACACGTGCAGGTACCAGTAGTGCGTTTCAGTTCCCCGGTAAAAAAAAATTCAGGAAAAATTGGGGACAGCTTGTAGAGTCACTGTGAAGCCATGTTCGAACCCCTAAACGGGTAAGGACCCCTCACCCTATTTCATATCACGGTATTAAAGTTTAATAAATAATTAAACGGTATTTTGAGACTTTATAGATGTATAATTGATTGAGGTTGCCAATGGAGCCCGAGTCTGATACAATGTTGGTCTGTTATTGTTTGATCTAATTTTCAGTATTAAATGCAGTATGAGGTTTGATGTTTTTATTTCATTATTTCGCGTACATATTTTACTGTTTTACTGATTATGGATCGAACGACTGGGATGTTGATGCTGTATGTTGTCTGTTTGGCATAAATTACCGTTTTGCTTGTTTGCATGTGGATTGATGATACTGACTAAGGGAAAAGAGAATGAAAGATTATGTAAATGGGTAATTGTATAATGTGGTCAGCCTGACTAGATATCCTGGGAGATGGTGGACGGACCGGGTCCGTAGGGAACCCTACCGGGATTGTGGTCTCCCATACCGGACGGGGTATGGAGATCTTATGTGTTTTGGCGCCCATACCGAACGGGGTATGGGGACGGCCCGCTTCACCCTCATACCGGACGGGGTAATGAGGTTTATAGTTTCGGCGCCCATACCGGACAGGGTATAGGGACGGCCCTGGAATCTGATTACAAGTATTAAGGGTAACGGGTAGCGGGACCCATATGGATCCCCATGGATACTAGTAGGCTGGTGAATGAGGAAAAGTAATTGTGAAATGATTGAATTGCAAGGGCGTGATAAGTATTATGTTACACAGTTTATATGATTTCATGATGATGATAATGTTATTGCTTTCGTATATTGTTTTATGAATTTCACCGAGGTAAGTGAATGGTAAAATGTTTTATTACTGATAAAGAAGTTTATTGTAAATTATGCTCCATTGGTCTTTTTGTGTTTTCTACCCACCTTTATCTCCGTGACGGTGAGATATCGTGATATCCTTACTGGGTTAGTGTAGCTCATTCCTTATTTAATCATTTCAGATCAGGAAGACATTGTTCCCGAGCCCGTTCCGCAAGAAGACGACGAAGGGGACGCCTAAAGACTCCAAAGTCATATTCATAGCTTACTTTCGAATTTCTCTTTTAGTTAGTTTGATCTTTTATATTTTGAGCACTTTTTTCTGATTTCAGTGTAAGGGATGTTAATCGAATTTTGACTTCGCTTCCGCATTGACATTTTTAATATACATTTCATTTAAAATTTCCGGGGCCGTTACATATTGGGTGTAAATTAATATTATGAAATCAATAAATTTTGAAGCGATATTTAATATTATGCGTTATGGGTATTGAATTTAAACACAATCCTCTACGTAATTAAGTGTATATATTATAAAATATAATCTAATATTAATTATATTGTCTTAACTAATTGTGCAAAACTTTATTAGATATTTGTACAAGATTTTGGTATACGTAGAATTCTTTTGAATTGGTAATATCTAACAACTCCATCAATAATAAAAATTAATTTTATTGCACTTATCAAATTAAGGAAATACACGAACTAATTTCATGAAAATTTATCGGGAATATATATATATATATATATATATTAATTTGCATAGTATATGTCTAATAAATCCATAAGATGATTAAGTCATAAAAATAAATAGTAATTTAATAAATTTTCACATATGATGATTTTATGTAACTATAATTTAAAACAATATGGTTTCGTGAAAACTGTTATTTTACGGAAAATGAATAATTTATTATAAGATACACATATATACATAACTATGTATATTTAAGTGTATTTAAATATAAAACAAGTGAATGCTTAATAATAAGTAAAAATTAGTGAAAAATATAAAAAATTATAACACAATAACCTAAAACTTAATAAATTTATTAAAATCGTCAAACAGTACTAAAAAAAATAAAAATATTGTATTTATATGA